TTTTTGAAGTGAAGAGACACGCTTGTATTTTGGATGAAATTGATGATTGAATTTCACAAGATTGGCATCGCCCCATTCGGAGACTGTCTGTAGTGTGATTCACACGCTCTACCATAGCTTCTCTTTCGGACTGGATCTGATCTCGACTGGCCTGATGACTTGGTTGGTATCTCTCCACAACTGCTACCGTCTGCACACCCATAGGTACATAGATCATTACCGGGCATAAGCATCTGCTTATGCCCGTTAATGATCTCATTAATATGCAGCAGGAAGAGAGTTGCGGAGAGAACGGACTCCCTGAGAAACACCGGCGTTTGTCGCCATCGGATCGGATGACTAGCCATCGAGGACGACTCGGAGAGATTGTTCACTCAGAAAGTCCTTTAGCCATTCAATCAGACCAGGGGATAATCCATACGCTGGAAGCATACCCGAAAGGCTAGTGTGCCAAACTCTGTCAAAGGCATTCGAAACATCAAGGGAAACAGCAACCACTGTTCTCGAGTTCCTCGCCCCATACGTGTGTGGCATAAGCTAGAAGGTCCCCAGTTGACCGATTTCGGCGAAACGCATATTGCCAGTCACTAAGGAGGTAATTTTGTTCTAGGTATGCCATTAAGCGGGCGTTCAATATACGCTCCATAATCTTGCAGAGTATGGCGGTAGTTGAGATTAGCCTATAATTGGCAGGGTCAGCACGGCTGCCTTTTTTGGAACAGGTTGCACGTTAGCCAGCTTCCAGAATTTTGGCACCATTCCAGTCCTAAATGAGAGGCAGAACAAGCGTGTCAGCACAGGAGACAACTAAGGTGCACACGCCTTTAAAACTATAGCTGGTATACCATTTTAGCCATTCTATACCCGCTTCTTTATTATCTATCCATTTACCAAGCGCTAGAGCGAATTGATATGCTAATTGACGTGCTTGTTTGTAGGTTAATCCGTAATTAATTTTGGAACTCTTTAAAAGATATTCTTTCCGCGTCCGTTCTTCATCTTTAATAAACACTTTTGCGACGAAATTATTTAATAATAAACTTTTCAGATTTAAGCGATATATCGTCTTTGTATTTCTTTATTCGGTAATGTAAGGTATTCGGTTTTATATTATATGTGTCAGCAGCTTGCCCGAGTTTCATTTGTCCGGTTACTACTTGCAAAATAGCAGTTGTAAATAGCAGCATTTCTTACTGGTCGATTTCATTCTCTGTCTTTGTTTGTAATTGCGAACCATTATTATTTTTTCTTTTATTTTAATAAACGTTACCCCCACACTAGGATTTTCTCCTGTATCGTGGAGGCAGTTTACAAACATAAATTGCACAAAGACCAACATCCAGACCCGGAACAATTATTTGCAGGGCATACAAATACTTGTTCCGAGCGGGATTGAACCCGCGGCCCCCAGCGCAGCAACTCATTGCTATATATATATATAAATGATTTTTTTATAAAACAAAAGATAGTACAAAATGTTTGTAATCTCTGTATAAAAAAAGTCACTCTCAATTTCAAAGAAAACACGTAGAAAAACACGTAGTTACCCACTAAAAACAAGTATCCTTCCGTTTGTAACTGATGCTTGATGTCAACTAAACTTAATTAGGTCTAAACAAGTGAAAAAAGCATAAAAAAGAACATTACTTTTACACATGGCTGATGGCACAATAGGTGTGTCATCAACCAGGCGTGTCATGAAATATTTGTTCACCGCCACAGCTAAAAGTTGTCGAAAATTGATGCCGCAACGAATCGGTTAACACATTCCTCGACTGTCCTCATAACACGGCGGCAGACTGTTCGTTATACGCCAGCAGTGACAAGTGACAGTTGTGTGGATTAGTGTTGCCACTACACCTAAAGCTTGATAAACACATTTTCAAAGGTGTCCCTGTTCAAAGTTGCCTCCTTTTCCCCTAACCATCTCATATTAATACCAGTTGTAAATTAATGGTGAATGGAAATCGGGAAACCGAATCAAACTACGAGCCTTGTGATACTACGATCACTAACATGCTCGGTCAAATGTAATGATAACGACAAATTAATAAACATTGGAAAATGCTAATATACAGTACCTAGTCAAATGTAGAAATACGATATGTTTGCAGCTATTTCAAATAAGCTATTTATTAAAATTTCTTACAGTCCTTCGGAAGTTTTCATAAGTACTTTAAATGACCTTTAAATCTAAGAGGTAAAATTTAGTAGTAATTTTAACAATTTTTAAATAAAGGTAATATGAATTTTACGACTTTATTTTTATAGCTATATACTCCCTATTGAGTTAGGGACCTGTATTACTGCAACAACTGATACAGCAAGAGTTATGTCCCTCATACGATAAATAAAATTGAAGCGTCTGTTTGTAAAGTCAAAATAACAGCTTTTTACTAAATACATATGAAAGTATATACGGTAATTATAACAAAAAACCAATTCTTTAAATTTTTGTCTGTTTGTTCTGGGTGATCTCCGAAATGACTGAACCGATTTTGACGGGACTCACTGGGAGATAGCTGATGTTATAAGAAGTAACTTGGGCTACTTTTATTTTGGAAAAAGAATAAGGGATCCACGCAAAAAAAAGGCATGAAATTCAATCTTAATAAATTCCACGCGAACGAAGTCGCGGTGAACAGCATGTACTTTGAGCAAAGGTAAATGTAAAAAGGAATAAAACAAAATATAAAAACGAACTTTTTATTAGTATACTACGAACAGCGCCGTATTTACATGGTCTTTATATTGTTAAAGAAATGTAACAACAACTTCATTATTGTATCTTTAGGCACGTACTTCATCGAACAACATCCATAAATTTAACACAGTATTGCTTGAAGCACTATGTAAAGTGTATAATAACATAAACCCTACGGCTCATCCTCTTCACATCATACTCACTATCATAAACAATTACTACAGTAATTGTGAGATAATCGCAACTGTCCAAAAATTTAAGGAAATGGGTAACCAAAATTAAAAACAGGCAAGAATGAAAATTAAAAAAAAGTAATTTTTGAAATGCGGTCTAATAATGTAAAAGAGAAAGAAAATAGGTGGTAAGAACCAAAATCGATAAGATAAATTACTACCTACTTAAATTTTATATCTTTTCTATGCATTGTGCATAACTCAAATTGTAAATGTTCATAGAAGACTTGCGTTTAATTATTCAAAATTTAAACATTAAGAGGATTATGGATGGGGCTGCAAAAAATTTGAACAATAAGGTTTTTAATTGATCTATTGCTGTCGCTCTGTGTCCTGACCGACGACGACCCGATCGACCGAGCTAGACAATCAAGAGTCAAAACTGCAGTCCGAACTGATATTAACTGCGAAAAATTGTATCCTAAAAAACATGGCAGTGTTTATATAGATTGTATCGTAAAAATATTTGCTCTAGTATCACTCATCCAGGAAGAAAAATAAATACTTTTGTATGGACTAAACGCCTTCCAATATCCTCTTAAGTTTTTTACTTATACTGAAAACATGGTTTGACCTAAGACGCTGCAAATTGCATTGTAATATGCAGGTCGTGCAATTATATTGAAATCACGACAATAACAACTTCCCTATTACAATTAAGTAGCGATGTTTATGAATACATATTTAAAATACAATAGCAAAAATTTAAATCCGAGAATACATATAAAATTACTGTAAGTAATTTTTAATTGGCACAGTTTAGCCGTTTGACGTTAGTGGATAAGCCCGCGCAAACGTCATGTTTCCTGATTAGTTTTTAGATTATGTTTTCCGTATTTGGGCAACCGAATGAAAGCATTTGATACAAACATGGCGCACAAGTACAAAGACGTCATCCCAAATCTACTAAATGCAGCTATTACAAGCATTTTTTGCAATAGCTGCAACAGGTAACAGGTTTTTGGTTTCTTTTAACGTAAAAGTGTAATAAACTTCTACAGCAAAATGTGTGCTCTAGGCTGATGGAATTCCGAATCTGAAAACCTTAGCAGGAAACCTGACATTCGCAACCTGCCATAGGGGTTATTTTTATAAGACAAGCACAATGTGAGTAATAAATATTGCATTATAGAATTGATATTAGATTATTAAATTGATAATTGTGATTTGATTAAAACACTTACACCGTTAAAGCGTTTTCATTATATTAAATTACCATTAAGTCCAATTGCATCAATAAGGCAAGTGACTCGATGACAAACACATCATAATATCACAGACTAACGGAAACTACGCCAGGGAACTTACGTACACTACATAATATGGCACTAACACACTGAATAACAAATCATTTAACGAACATAGACAACTAATTAAGCGATTTCAATTACGAGGGGACTTGCACGTCACTGATACGTATAACAATGGACAAAGGTAATAATAACAGCGGACACGAAATATCGCATACCTGTTACATTTCAATCACAATATAATCTCATATAATCTATATGGGCTTTTCAACAATATAACCCCGCAAAATGAAAAAAATTGAAATAATACTCGATAGTAACAATATTAAAACCATTATATATATTTGAAAAGGACAAAATGGCAGTAGCACCAGTGGCATGGCAGAACATAAGCGGGCCCCGGGGTCACAACCGAAACTTATTACTATTATCACTACGTAAACATTGCACTACTCTGGGTGTACGTAAATTTGCGGTGCCCAAACTGAGGCACATCCTAATAAACCCGCCCAAACATTTTGAATGTTTTGGTGAAAATAAAATTCCCCCTGCAATTTATTGCACATGCGTGATATTAATTTTATAAAATAACGCTTAATTAAATTTGATCAAAATAAAATAATCAAAAATTTGACTAACAAAAAATCTACATCAAACCTTAGCACACTATCCACTACGGCATACATTCATAGATAAGGAACAATAGCATCAATTGATAATTTAAAAACGTCCGCTGTAATGCACCGAGCCACAAATCGCTTACTAACGCTAACTGTAGTCTAAAAACGAACACATTACCAACCAACCGCCATTTCAACTCGCGTTTTTCAACTTCACTGTATCCTTTTGTTGCGAACCCGGACCCTCGTCGCCTGTTTTTTCCTCGGGTTTTTCAGCAGTTTCACTGCTAACTTGGTTCAGCACGCCCGGGATTGGCAGATCTTTTAATTGCCTTTTTTCTATCTCGGCTTTAAATTGCTCAATATCTTGAGGACTGCAAAGATATATATTTAATCAAAATACTATTTAATACAAAACAATAAAACGGTACACATTCAGGTATACGAAATCATGTAGATTATTAAATTCATAGTGTTTAGGTATTTTTGGTATAATTGAAATAGTTAAGTCAAGGAGATGGAATACACATTATTAAACTACGACTTTTTCAAAATGTACTTACGTAAAATCATCGAATTCGCTTATATCTTCATCTAGCCAAATTTCGTAATCTCAAAATAGTTATATAACTTTTAATTTTAGCCTCTTACGCATATCAAATTCTCTTTATGCTACCATAGGATAGAAGAATTTCACTTCTTTATATGGGTCTCCTATGAGAGGTCCATGTCCATAAGTGGAATTTTTCAGGCTGATGAAAAGAAGTGTAAAGTCGGTGGTGTATGAGTGCGTGTGCGTGTGCGTGCGCGTGTGTGCGGCCGACCTGATCTGCACGAAGAGGATGCCGTTGATGAGGTTGAGCATGTCGATGACGGAGGCCATGGCGGGCGGCTGGATGTGCAGCGGCGGGGCGGGCGGCGCGGGGTGCGCGGGGTGCGCGGGGTGCGCGGCGTGCGCGGGCTGCGCGCGCGCGTACGCGTCGGCCAGCCGCTTCTGCAGCACCACCGCCTGCTGCGTCAGGTGCCGCAGGCACTCCGACGACTCGCGCGTCTTCTCGTGCTTCTCGCCCAGCTGCCGACATACCCACCCTTCATCGTCGTGCCACCGTGCCCACCATCACCGTCACCCCGCCCGTGTTAGGCCGTGACAACTCGACTCAATTACACAAAAAGAATCCACAACTCAAAGCTACTTTTTTAAGTTTAGACCGATTTGACAAAGATAATGGGTTGCCTCTTGCGACTGCGCCTTTGCTAGAATTATTTTTATCACATGAAAGATTTCGACAAATCTTAGTTAAGGCCATATATATATATATATATATAATGTAAGGGTGACAAACGAGCGCACAGTCCCCCTGATGGTAAGTAGTTGCTATGGCCCATAAACATCTACATCCATCCTCAACTATGAATCAAAAGGCAGGCAGATGCGTTGTTACCCGTGAGTACTAAGATAGAACGCCTCGTTTCCAGTAAAAGGGGTATCCAGTTCTCTACGCACCATACGAAATACAGTAGCGTTAAGCGGCTATTTTACTCTAGTATTCTGTGAGAGCGTGGTCCTTTCCCAGTCGAGCCCACCCATTCGTGCTACAACTATACTACTGATATAGCTGCAAATGGCTCTACCACATTAAAATTTATGTGGGTCTTCTTCATACGTACTTTACTGAATCGTAAGTAGATTAGAATGTAGTGTCTAAAATAAAAAGAGATGGTGTCAGCAAACATAACCCAACAAAAATTATTTTCTTACCCTGTTGGCTCTAAGCTTGAATATCAACGATATTATAATAAAATTCTTTAATAATCGGGAGCGATATTTATGATAACAAAGATATGATGTGTGATTGCGGTTTAAAAAATATAATATGAAGCGATAAACGGAACAACCTTCCATTAATATTGGTACAATACAAATCAGTAGTCATAACAATTCTAATTTATTTAAACCAATGAGTGTTGCCAGACGCTTATATTGCTATTACGAACCTGCCTACTACATACAAAAACACATGTAAGCATGAAGCTTTGCAAATTTTTCTTACATTTGGAAAAGTTGATGCCTAGCAGTGCACTGTTACAGGCTGATAAAAAGAATATTAACAATTTATTTTATAATAAGTTTATTTTTGCCCTTGAGAACCAACCACTTAATTGTTTCTGGCGCCAAACAGCAAGGCACCTAAAGTTACAACTTAAATGCGATTTACCACGTACTGAATGAAATAAAATAGGTATTTCCAGATTATATGTAATCTGCCAACACGCACTGCAGTAGGGTGGTGGATTATCGGTTATCCATAACTCTCTTATAAATGACAAGAGGCCTGTGCATAGCTAATCCATGGGGACATATTGGACAATGCGTGTGTGCGGTGCGTACGTACCTGCTGCTTGTATATGGAGTAGGTCTCCTTCTCGTGGTGCAGCGCGGCGCGGAAGTCGCCGAGGCAGGAGAGCGTGCGCGCGAGCAGGTGGCGCGCCACGGCCGCCTTCAGCGAGCGCGCGCCGTGCGACGCGCTCGTCACGCTCAGCGCGCGCTCCGCGAACCGCAGCGACAGCTCGTACTCGCCCACCGCGTGCAGGATCAGCGCGATGTTGCTCTGCGGACCACGCGCACGCTCACTCACCTCACCTCACACATAACTCATTGACTCCACGCCTTCACATACGACCGTCATCCAAATCACACACTACGCAGGTACGATAATATTAATCTGCGTATAAAAACTTAATTATATGAAAGTATCACACACTACACAGATACGATAATATACGAAATGATACATTCACTCAAATCCTTCAAACTTACTAGACCTAGTTTTACGGATTGTTTATACAGTGTTACACGCGATGAGTTGCGGATATTGCTTTTAGATTTGCTAGACAGCTCGTCTCAATAGGTTTCCGAATCTGATGTACGTGTTGTATTAATAAAAGGCTAGAATTTGGATAGACGTCATATAAAGCTTAAAAAAGTCCGAGGCGAATTTAATATTTACGAGGATCTGTCAGATAAGAAATTTACAATCTATTTTCGAAACCCAAGGGTAACATTTATGGCGATTACCGATATGATTGAAGAAGTTATTAAAAAAAAGTAAAATGGGTGAATGCATTCCTACCAAAGAATGATTTGCTGTTTGCTCATGGTAAGCAAGCAATATTTATAATTTATTTGTACATTGTAAAAGTGTGTATATGTGTGTGAGGGGGTATGGTGTGTGTACATGTGTACAGAAGAATTCAAGAATACAAGAATATGCCGGATTCAGCACTATAACTATATAATAAAGAAATAATTTTTATTTGTGACGGGTAAAGTGAACAAAACAATGTATTTATAGAATTAACATAAGTTTATTATTCTCAAAAAAATCAAAAAAGAAACAAACAAATATTTTTTCAAATTAATCATAATGAAAGGTGTCATTCTCCACATAAGAATGAATATTAACCTGTGACGAAATATTATAATTTGGTGTATAATTTTCAATTGCCGCAGTGTTTTCATTCAGTTAATGCTGTGGAGAATAGTGCTGGCTATGTTCGATATCATCACGCTCAGTACTAAGCTGCGGCGAAGATGTAACCACGACGTCTGAATAGTTCAATAATGTAGAAATTGGACGAGGTGAAGTGTTACAATACGGAGTGCTTCTCAGTTGTAACTAATCGCCTGTAAGTTGATGCACAATATTGGTGGCTGGACTTGCTGGTGATGATACACTCGACCTATCGGCCGGTGATGACCTCAAGCGTCGGGTAGCTATATATTCTTCCTGCGCTTCCATAACGATATTAAACACTTGTCGTTGCACTCTTAATTGAAGTATTTCGGGAAGATTGTTTGTAGTTAGCAGCATACTCATAAAAAACTTTTCTAGTGCGGTATTACTCGGCGTGTTATTTTCAGGAGTACTGCTACTACTACTAAGTATTTGTCTTTTCAACGAGTTGATTCCTTCGACGAATCTTATCTCTCGTCTTTTTTGTTCTTTCTCAATCAGTGATGTTAAATTAGGCTTTTTGTTAGGAGGAACAAAATCATCAACCCTCTGATGCTGTTCGCTTTCGGATAAGTATGCATTATGTTGTGTTATGTCGCTGTCTTGTTGGTTTAAATTTTGCCTGTCTACATTTCTTGATCGTATACGATTTTGCATTGTCGGTAGCAAAAACTCCATAATTTTTTCATATTTCCACAGATGATTTGGATTGGCGGCCTGTCCAGTTGTAGCTTTTTTTCTAGATACTGCTTGCCGGTGTCCATCTCGGAGCTTTCGCCACAAATTTTTTGCTTCTTTGACTAAAACAAATAAACTATTTTTTATTTTGTTAATATATGGTTATAAAAAAATGTCTCGGAGGGTGTGTCTATGTTTTTTTCGGTGGTAGAATATGAAAGATCTATTTATTTATTTTTCCTTGCACTATATTCTAACTGTACAGATACACATGCTACTAAGTAGCAGGAAAGCATGCTATAACGAAGTACCTTATCGGACGGTACGAATTAGGCGGATGGGGACTAGGCGGGAAGAAATGTAAGATTTTTCCCTCACGTCCCTTTCTGAAGTAGTACAGACGGGATTGGCGGCTATAAGGAAACGAAATGGAATAATATCCATCTCCCTCGCACTTTTTCTTATCTTGCCATGTAAGAAATATTATTTTATTTTAAATGACGCTTCATTTTAATAGACGCTAGTAATTCATTTATTTGTATTTGTTAATCAATATATAATACGTTTATCAATAATAATATACTACAAAAGGAACTTCCAACCGAGTGTACCACGATACTCACGCATGTTTTTATTTTATTGGGATACATATACACACACACATAGGATGTGTGTGTATCTGTACTTCAAATATTGAATTTAATACTTATTTTTATTGCAGTATGTATTTGCGAACTGGTGAATCTATTCGAGTCATAGCTTTCAATTGCAGGATTGGTGAATCTATGCCTTAACTATAGTAGATCTGTGCGACGCTTTGTGGAAGCATTTACAATCGCTCGTAGTAACGAAACCTTCACAACATCAATATAGCTATAATATATATATATATATATATATATATATATATATATATATATATATATATATATAGCTGCCTAATTAAAAAAAACTCTACCAGTTCAACCATTGCTGTAGGACAATCGATGGAAAACATGTTACAATCAAATTTCCGCCCAACTCAAGACAAACCGTTAGGGATCTTGGCAGCTCAACGGAGGGAGTAACAATAGGCCAATAGCATGTAGACTAGAACTAGCGGACAAAGTAAAACGCTACGTATGTTTTGCACAATTATTTTATAGAAAATTCTGAGACATGTTTTGGTGGCAAAGATAAAATTTTCAGAGTAACAAACAACACAGAAACAAATCAATTATTGCCACTGACACATACCAGCATGCCGATATACAGAGGATAACTTTATTATTCGAGAAAAGTTTCGTTACTACTTTAATATCTTAGGCAGTGTATTGTGGTAAAGAAATCATATTCGGCATAAGTTACTTAATAGAACATTAAAAAAAAAACATTGTAATTTTGTACTTAAATAAATGAAAAATACTCACCATCCGACAAATCACACTCTTTTACTATTTCCCTCCAGGCTGCTTCTTTTACATCATATAATTTGTATTCTTCTATGTCTGTTTTCCATAAACACGGATATTTTCGAACGCTTTCGATTAGTCGCTCCATAGCACCATGCGCACGTTATCCAAACGTAAACAACATTGAATAAATGAGCTAGTGGCAGGCGGTATTCTGCCCCCCCCCCCTCCGGTTTCTCTCCCGTCTCACCGCATACCGTGCCTCCATTCTGTATTTATCTGCAGGTAAAATCCTATGCCATATTTGTATTTGCATGTTATCTCCAGATATATTTGTATAAGCAGATAATATTGTCACTATCTTTCGATATCAGTCTGTTCCTAAAGATACTTAACGATAAAATATAAATTATCTACACTGTATGTTAGTTGAATTAAATAGAGAACGATATTGAAAAATATGCGCTCAGATACATCTTATCGTATCTGCGTAGTGTATGATTCCCTTGATTTATTAAATTTTAATAAGCAAGCTCGATTTCACTTTCAAATCTCTGTATATATGTATTCTGTGTATATATGTATTAGCTACGCCTTCAACTGCACATTAATATCTCAAACACAGATATGTAATATATAGGTGTTAAAAGGTACAAAATATAAAATATACGCTTTTTGCTACACTCCACAAACTATTGAAAAAGGAACATTAGAAATCACACAAAATTCTGTTCGACAATAGACTATTTATTATAAGTTTAATAATTGTCATAGGCAGTATGAACGTGAACAATGTTTCATTTTATTTAATTTAATGTATGTATTTGTAAACTGCCCAATTCTGGCCATGAAACGCCCAACAATTTGCATTTGTTAAAAAAATACATCTTTTTTTTATGGTAATTAATCGCGGTATTTGTGTATCCAAAAAAATTTGCAATATTTTTGCGCAAAAAAAAAGTACCGAGGAGATAAAAATGAGATTAGGTAAATCCGCAAGTCTTTATTTTGTGGGTAAAATAAAAAGTGTTGCCAATCACAAGTGTCGTTAAAAAGTCGATTCTGTTTTTTCAATCGATTTTTTATGGTCTCATTATTATAATGGTAATATTATTTTTCCATAACTATTATGATGTTTTGATAATTAAACAAGCGATTTGCTGCTTGATTTGCTAGTTGATTTACCATGAACTTTTTAGAAAATAACAAAAACGCTACTGCACGATTTAACTCTTATTCTTATCTGTTCTTAAAAATACATTTAAAATGGAATTTAAGTAAATAAAACAAAACATATTTTAAAACGCGTGCAGAACTTAAAGCGAATCAAAGATTATTCTTTTTTACGTGCAGAACTTAAAGCGAATCAAAGATTATTCTTTTTTATGAAATTATAAATCGAATAAAAGAAACGCTATCTATTTATCGATTTTATGTCTGTTAATTGGCAACACCGAATCTGAAAGCTAGGCCCATGTCATAATTATCAATACTAAATATATTAGCAACGAATAAGCTTTCTAAATGGACTCCGATAATTCTTCTCACCCTATTGACCACAGCGTGAAAATGGATCCCGCTCCCACCACTTCTTCTTCACGATAACCTCTGCACGAACTTAGACTCGAAACCCACTGTTAACGATGACCTCAGCTTTCACACCAGCCAGAGTTCTACCCAGCTTTCAGTAACTCATTCAAGAGGACATTTACGCTGTGTCAATTGTGGTTTAAATGCCACGAAAATACTAATGTCATTTGTTGTTAAAAACTGTTCTTGTGAAAATAACAAACCTCTATATCTTAAAAATCCGGACTTTTTTAAACTAACTCCTTAACCATTTCATTCTTTTAATTGCATATTATCATTTCCATATGCTTTTATATATGGGCACCCATGGCCGAAGTGTTTATGAACGGTGGGCATTCCCCTTTTGTATACATTTTAGATTTCTTCACTCTTTCTCCGTAAAGACTTGCTGTAATTAACCTATATTAACAATGTCAAATCTCGCACTCTTCCATATATTGTGCTTAAAAGGGGGTACAAAGTTTTCTCTTCACATATTAATAATACATAAATATAAATATTTTATTCAAATAAGTTTTATCTATCACAGATAGAGACACAGAGTAGCTCAGTGAATAAGTGCTTGCCTTAAATATCATATATCGTATCGTTTTTTTTTTTTTAAGAAGTGTGACAAACGATTACTATTCACCTTAGTAAATACGAAACTCGACAGCGTACAATTTTATGCCACACTCGCAAAGAATACCACCGTATTATGTATTATAGTGTCCCTAGTCGAGCGGATGGCAATAATACAGCTGCATGTACCTATATCATGTATATATATGACAGCCTCGTTAGTCTAGTGGTCGATCATGTGGTTCCGGGTTCGAATCCCAGGTCAGAAGAAAAATCAGTTATTGGGTTTTTCTGTCAAGACTCAGTGCTCAGTGAAGTGCTCAGTGAAATACTCAGTGCTTCCCCGTTCCTCGGAAAGCACTTCAAGCCGTTGCTCCTGCGACTGATCTCTCTCCGATTGTGTAGAATTCAGTCCCATCAGACTACGGGAATGGGGGCACATACTATTGCACTATAAACCTGTTCCGCGTAGATGTCTCCGTTGAAACTGGTCGCCGCCGTGACCGAAATTCGGTCCGTAAGACATTATTATTATATCACTTAAGTTGTACGCGAGGAAACTAAATTCGATTATCGAATGTGACATGGGTGGTCTACTAAAGCACATGAAAGCAGCGCAGCAAACTTCGTTTACTTCCTTTTTACATAAGGCACATTTCACTAACTTTTATAAACGTCAGAAAGAAAATAAGGGCCATTAAAGTTAATACGGTAAAATATTAGTAAGAAATGGATCGGTCTTTTTTCTTCAAAATCAAAACTATTAGTTTGAATTTAAGCTAACATGAAAATCGCAATGATTCAATATTTATATTCTTCTTTTATCTTAATAGCTAAACTGCAATCACTTTTTTATAAATGTTGAAATTGAACATTAATAAAAAAGTGAGTGAACATGAAAAAATGAAAAAGTGAGTAGAGCCACAGTGTAACCGACGTCGCCGAAATGCTGATCTTATATAATCAAAATTGCTATCGTAGCAAATAGCATTAATAAAAAGACTTGAATATTTCAAGATTTTTAGAATATTGCCGTTTCTATTTATTGTCAGATGAAATACTTACATCAAGTAGCGCCATCTCCGGATGATTTTCCCCGCAGACTATGAGCGCGAGGTAGCGCGCTCGGTACAGTAACTTCAAAGCTGTGCTCACTTGCCCGTTCGCGAAGCAGTATAGTGCCAAGTGGGACTGAAATAAGATGAAAATTTTATAAAACCATATTTTCATAAAATAATTTTTGTAATAATAGGTAGTAAAAATTATTTAAAAAGATGTTTTTTCTTAAACTAAGGCTTAGGGAGTTTATCGCTTGATACTGAATTTCTTTTATTAAATGTGTAGTATTCATGCAGACATATAATATCTAATCTTTCCTCGTCATACGGCCAGTGGTTAAGGACTACGTCTCAGATCCATAATATGTTTATTGGCAACATTCACTGGTTTTACACGCTTGTTTTCAAGTTTTAGGGTATACGTCACTGGAGAAGATGTGTTGTAAATTAGAACCTTCCTGACTGAGCGCTTCCTACCAGAGTTGAATCCGTTGATTGACGTCAATGCCGAAGTTGGACTTACATAGTCGGATATTTTGGCTTAGCTTTCCATTGACTCCCGTCGAGTTGGGGGTTGTTACGTATTTTTACATTATAAATGCAAACTTAAAAAATATATATATATTTTAGAAATCGATTTTTTGGAAATCGATACATCAGCTTACAATTCGAATCTTTTTAAAAAATCGATATTTTTCGGAAAGAATCGACATCCCTACTGACAATAACAATAAAAAATGGCGTCAGTTTTATTGTAGGATTAGACATAAACAATGCAAGAATAATTGATTTTCAATAACTTTTTTCTCAAAAATTACGCATTTCCGCATGTTGTAACTTTGTGTGTGTGCTTATAATAGTGTAACTTTTCTGTAAAAATACGTATCATCCCCCAACTCGATGGGAGTTAATGGAAAGTCGTACCGATAATTTGATTTAGGTTTCGTGACATTCGTCGACAACTACCGGCATACATGTGACATGGACGTTACAGTGACATGATCTTTTTCTCGATCCATATACATGTTGAAGCCTATTCGTTGGAGATACTATTGGTGTTATTGAGTATAGTGTTAAGGTCTTCCAGCTATTTTCCTATAAATGACTAATTTGTCGGCAAATCGAAAGTGAATGATGTACACGCCATTGATTTTGAAACCATTCCAGTAGGATGAAAACGCCTTTCAATGCAGCGGTTATTCACTATTGAAGAACAAAATAGTTTTATTTAAGCAGAATAATAAGAATCGCAGCTCACGTATTCGGTGATGGTGTAGGGGTGGTCGATGCCGTTGACGCGCTCGGACATGAGCACGGCCTTCTGCTGGTAGGCCATAGCGTCGCGGTGGTCGCCGGTGACGTAGCACAGGCGCGCCACCATGCGCAGGCACTGCGCGATCTCGCCGTGCATGGCGCCGTACACGTTGTTGAGCAGGTTCAGCGCCTCAGCGATCAGCTCGTGCCCCTCCGACACCGCGCCGCTCTGGATCTTGCTCTGCCCCGTCGTGTAGAAGTTGTACGCGTCCGACGCCTGCTGGGAACATCTCACTCTACTATCAAACTGATAAACCACTCACTCACCGGCAACCTTCCCGAAAAATTCACAGTCATTCATTCAACATATGTCACCTCCATAAATTACATATCTCATAGGGAAAATATTTGCCATAATTACTACGCTGGACAGAGGGGTTTGCAACCGCAGTATTTTTATTAATATTTTCAACTTATCAATAAGATGCTGCTACCCATCTTTTGTTTCATTCCCATCAGTCACTTTTTACGACACTCACGGGATGATATCAAGGGACAGTGGATTCTCTTACGGCGCAACTACACGGAAAATCACGCCATTACACACATATTTACGAGTGGTTAATATTATTTTATTTTTATTTATTTGCATTACATTACACTAATTGTTTGACTGCCTACAACATAGTTAAACTATATTACAAATATAATTAGAATAAGTTTAATAGTTTCTTAAATATTACGCATTCTTGTAAAAGCCTATATCCAGCAATTTTTAAGGAAAAAACCACTTACCCTTGGATTGATATGTTTGACAACAGGAAATATGTTCATAATGTCCGATGGTGTGAATGCCGCTTTGTTCTTATTGTCGAAGTCGTACTCCCGCAATAAAATCTGCAAACCCACTTTAAGCGCGAAAGACCTGTAAAAATGATTTAGTCAAAACTGGATTATACAACAAAAATAATACAGACTTACATTGGCATATTATTTATAATGATTAAATATCTAAATTATCTATAACTACGCTACTATTTATTTCAATTTTGTGAAAAATACATTATTTTTAAACCTTACCTCAATAAGGAAATCTTCTGTAGACCATGTTTTTCTATGACAACATCCATATTTTCGGCATTTAGTTCATATCCCCAGTATGACTGAAACATTAAAAAAGTATTATAAATGTTGTTAATAATAACCTTTTATCTTAAATAATTTGAACCTAAATAGGCATGCCATTCCAGATGTAAGAGAAGAATTGTACCCATTATAGTTAACTTAAAGAATGGCAACGGTTGTACAAAATGTGCACAAATTATTTTGTGCCGATGCATGAGGGTATTGAAAATTATACAGTTGTGTGATGTTAGATTTTTTAGACAAAACTGGATAGGGCTAGGATAAGATAAAACATATACATTATGTATTAACAATAATGCCTAAATGTGATAGGTAAGTCCTTTTCTGCTTAGGTTAATTTGGGTTAGTGGTTCTTAACATCATCATCATCTTTACAGCCCTTCACAAGTCCACTGCTGAACATAGGCCTCCCCCAAAAAATGACACAAAGCACGGTCCTGAGCCACCTGCATCCATCGACTTCCTGCATATCTTACCAGGTCGTCACTCCATCTAGTGGGGGGACGCCCTACACTTTGCCTGCCGGTACGAGGCTGCCACTCGAGAACCTTTCTTCGCCATCAGTTGTCGGTTCTTCGAGCTATATGGCCGGCCCATTGCCACTTCAGCTTACTAATCCGTTGGGCTATGTCGGTCACTCTGGTTCTACTGCGGATATCCTCATTTCTGAGTTTATCACGCAGAGAAACTCCGAGCCCTCTCCATAGCTCGCTGAGCAACCTTGAGCTTCCTCGTCCGGCCAGCAGTGAAGGACCAATAGGCCAATATCTATATTAGAGATCATTTGACGATATTTGTCTTGTTTCTACAAGTCTCGAAAAGCGCAGGGATCTCACATCATTTTTTTTCTCTTCGACTCATTCTTAATAGCACGCTGGAGCTTCCACGAGCACTTCAAGCGCTTGAGCACCCGGCTAATGGGAGCGGCTGCTAATCAATGTCGGAGGGCCCGATGCTAATTTCCGCTGCCTCTACTGTGGTTCGGTACATGGCTTTATATGGAGCCCCCATATGGGTAAGGGACAAACTGTCTGTCGGAAAGAATCATCACTTTCCTGAGAAAGCAATCCCCAGAGGGCGATGGCAATATATTGGACAATCTCCTATGAGGCGGCATGCGTTTTGGCGCGGTCCCCACCCTAGGATATGGAGGCAGAGTTCGTTGCATCTGTACGATTGGCGCTCGGAACTTCGACTTCGAGGGTACCGTCCTTTTCCCAGAGAGTGGTAATTACGGAAGCATCACGCTCGGCAGGTCATGCTTGAAAAGTTGAAAGAGCGTCTAGCCCACGCAAAGGCAGAAAGCAGGGCTGTTCGTTCGGTCTTGCTAGACTGCCGGCTGACCCACTGACTACCGGCTGGTACAAATGCTTTCCGGGCATGAGTGCTTTAGTAAGTATCTGTGTCTTATAGTCGGAAGAGAGCCGACAACTGTCACCATTATGGTTGCGACGAGGACACGGCGCAGCATACCTTTGAGGACTGCTCAGCGTGGGCTGAGTTGCGTCATGACCTCGTGGATGTTATGGGGGACGACCTCGCGCTCCCAGCTTTAATTAAAGCTATGGTTGGATGCGAAAGGGCGTGGAGTGCAGGCGTTACCTTCTGCGAACAAGTGATGTCGCGGAAAGAGGCTGCGAAGAGAGAGAGAGAGAGAGGGAAAGGACGGCAGATACTCCAATCCGCAGCCGGAGAGTTGGGCGCTGGAGGAGAGCATGTCTCCTATACCCACCATAACTGAGGCTTAGGTAGCGAACACGGGGACTGTACTTCGTCTTTTAAGGCGTCGAGGTGGCGCATACGGTGTGTTTCCCGTACGCCCCTGCATGAAGAAAGAGTGAAGAACTCCAGCTCCATTACGTCATCGACCCGGACCTTATAAGGGCTATCGCCGTCTCGGCTGCGGTAGTGTGCGAAAGCGTTTCCGTAGCCCCGACCAAGTGCGAAGAGATGAACTTCGTGAGGTTTTAGCCGGTAGGAGTCTGGCATAACCTGTCTGTCACCTGCGCAATAGGCCGATATCTATGAGGATTTCCCCACGTATAAAAGAAGATCAGTGGTTCTTATTAGGGATCATTTGACCGATATTTATATTTTGGTAAAGTTGATTTTTAAGTTTGTTCTTTAAATAAAACACACCAAAATTAACGTGTGTCGTCATTCTGTGCCCCTCAGTAAATGTAAAGGCAACAATTTAAACCAATAAACCAAACTTTATAATATAAACCAACTATCATTTTTAAAAATGTTGTACACTCTTTATATGCCTTCGCGGACAATGGCACTGGCCTTCATGGACCACTGGTTAGGTAAGATGGTACGTTAGGACCACTGGTTAGGTAAGATGGCAGCATGTTAGATTCTTTTACCTAACATGCTGCCACCTTACTTAACGTGTTTCCGTCTGAGGGATAGAAATTGACAATGTTTCATCCCTGTGTCTCTGAAAGCAAGTTAAAATGTTAGTCCTGCATCTGACTCTCTCTCTGAATGTGTTAGATTTCCGTTCTATCGGACTGAGAGTGAAAGAATAGCGAGTGCACCTACTGTAATTCTGCCCTGTGTAGATGTTTAGTCTTCGTTGAGACTGCTCGTCGTGATCGAAAGTAGGTCTGGAGGACATTATTATTAATTTGCGTTATTATATGAGTTAGAGCCATGCTGCAGCTGTATTATGGTTTTAGCATGAATGGTTCGGCTCGACTGGGGTAGGATCACGCTTTCACAGAATACAAGCGTAAAATAGCCGCTTAATGTAGGTATGTGTAAAGAACCGGAGACCCTTTTTATGGAAAAGAGGCATTTCATCTCAGTACTCACAGGAGGGATGCATTTACATTTTGGTTCATAATCGAGGATAAATGTAGATAGACCGCAGCATTAATTAATCATCTGTTTTTTCACCTTTTCTATAACAAAGGGGTTCAAAGTATTTTGTTCACGTAGCAATATGTAGATATGTAAAAAGTATACCTTGAGCTCGTGCTTGATCTGCGTGAAGAGCGCCTTGGGCGTGAGGTGGTGCCAGTCGGCGGCGGCGGCGGCGGGCGCGGGCGCGGGCGAGGCGGCGCGCGCGTGGCGGCGGTGGCGGCGGTGGCGCGGGCGCGCGGCGCGCGCGGGGCACTCGGCCGCCGCGGCCGCCGGCGCCGCGCACGCGCCCAGCAGGCAGCTCAGGAAGTGCGCCGCCGCCGCGCCCGTGCACATCGCCTCGCACCCCTGCACCACAATCATTTTATATCTTACATACAAAACTAATTATAGACGTTTGCAGTTAGTTGTGTGCGCGTCAGGAAAAAACTACTCGATATATTTCAATTAGGTTTTCTAAGTTCTATTTCTTACACTTGACCCTAATCTAAACAAAAATTATTGGGATATCTTCATTTAATATAAAATTATTAAAGTTTTAAGAAAAAAAATCTTTTTTTATAAACACTACGTGTTCAATAATGTATTTTCTTACCGCGGAGAAATGAGGAGTCGTATTTATTTATTTATTACTATATATTATTTAATTGTATAAAATATTATTAATAATTATAAATTAATGTTTTAAAAAAAGGTCCTGCTGGATTTCTTTTCTTGCTGCTTCTTCCCACGACAAAGGCTTTTTCGAACCAGTGATAAATCTTAAATAACTTTCCATAAGTATTCTTCTAATCTATAATAAATAAAAATAACTATTCTATTTTTTTATTTTAGATATCCCCTCTTTGAATAGTAGGGAAATCTTCATGTAACGGAAAGTTTATGTCGGAATTAATTGCATCAGCATCCCAGGATCTCCGTTCAGAATGCAACCGGAGCCCCTCTCTTACTGTTCTATTGGAAGCACATCCCGGGGTAGTACTTGCTACTCAAAGCACCCCTTCGCAGTGCTATTATAATGTCTCGGAATCACTTCCAAGTCATCGCCCTTACTCAAGGATTACAATATTAAACATACGGGGTCCCCGCTCCAACCCCGTACATTCATTTAAATAAAACTATAACCGATGTGTTTGAAAATGTTAAATAAATTGGAACCCGACAACGCGACATTAACAAATTGTTAAAACTCCACTAACCTAATCTTACTGACAATTATTTTTTATTATTTCAAAAAGTTTAATAGTTGTACAATATTGGTTGCCGTTTTAAACATTTATTAGGATTTTTAATAGTTATTAACAGACAAAATTATTATTTATAATATTTTAACATTCTCAAACAAAATAACTAGAAAAAAACTAGAGAAATTAATTAGAAAAAAATATTGTTGGACTTTTTTAAAGATTTTTTTCTACTGCTAAAGGATTTACTACTGCTCCTACTGGGATTGTGGTCCAGAAAAGGTTTGGAACTTCTGATTTCAAGTCATAGGGAGTCCTTACAGGCAAACAGAAATTTGTATGTATAATACCATAAGTAGTTTTAAAAAATAAGTGATCCTATATGTAAATACTAAGAACAGACAATCTGCTAGGCTGGATACTCGACTATACAGAGTCGGTAATTGATTTATGTGGCAATGTATACATTTTAACAATAAAATCCCAGAGAAATATAAAATTGTATATATAAATAAAGTTATTAAAATACTATGAAATATATAGATGACAATAACTCCTGGGAATGAGGTGTTCGTTACCAAGCTAGTTCTAATATGATTAATTGTTCTGAACCAGTAATAAATTCAACTTTAAAATTACTTACAATTAATATTATTTATAATAGTAAATTAAAAATTTGTTTGTGCGATAGGATGTGGTATGTGTGGGATGTGGGATATGGGGTACCTGCAAGTAGGCGGTGTATATGTGCTTGGCGGCGCGCAGCAGCAGCTCGGCGACGGCGATGGCGTGCAGGTAGGCGAGCGGGGCGTGCGGGCGCAGCGCCAGCGCCACGCGGCCCAGGTAGCGCACGTTGATGCCGCGCGCGTGCAGCGCCTCCGTCAGCCCCGCGCCGTCCATCGGCGCCGCCGTGTGCTCCAGGCACTCGCGCACCTCCACACACATCACTCACTTAGCCCCACCCTTCACTTAAGCCCAGCTTGGACCGCATATGCCCGAATACTCAAACGCTGTTCAATTTCAACATGCCGTTAAGTCTCACTTTAAATCAAAGTGACTGTGACACCACGAGACTTAACGACACCTTAAAATTGAACAGTGTTTCAGTATTTGGCCAACATCGTATTTTAAATGCGACTCTTACGCGCGAGCATTGATACTTCTTAAAATACTATATGCTCGGAAAGAATATGTCGCATATATGAAATACCCAATTAAATTCTTAATCGAATTGATTTAAAAAAAAATTATAGCAATCAAGATAAAAAAGGATTCATTGCCGGGAAAAAACTTTAATGTTCAAGTTCTTGTTTTTTTTTAAGCCCTAACCATACGAGGGCGGCACTGAAAATTTCGGGAATCAAGGAAGTGACACAACATTACTATTTAAAAAAGTGTTTATTGCTTTTCAAATTATTCTCCGCGAAATTTGACACATTTTTCCATACGATGGAACCAATCATTGAAGCAACCATTCCATTCGGAAGTTGGGGTCTCCAAAATGGCCGTTTTGTAGGCGTCCACAGCTTCTTCAGGTGATGAAAATCTCTGTCCACGCAATTTATTCTTTATTTTAGGGAAAGTATAGAAATCATTAGGGTTTAGGTCGGGGCTGTACGGCGGATGGTCTAATAATTCTATGTTTTCTTGCTCTAAAAACTCTTTTATTCTGTGTACGGTGTAAGAACTCGCATTGTCGTGATGGAGGATGATGCGGCGGTTGCAGTTCTCTTTACGGAGTTCAGAAACGACCTGTGGCAAACAAATGCTAGCATACCATTCTGCATTAACCGTTCTTTGTCCCTCAAGAGGAATAGTCGTAACATGGCCGGTTTTGGAGACAAACGTGGCCACCATTTTTTTTGCAACACTCCGTGAACGAACAATTTTTGTTGGCTTTAACTCATTTTCGAACACCCAAACTCGTGACTGTTTTTTTGTTTCGGGTTCGTACGCGTATATCCGGGATTCGTCACCTGATCCGATGTTGTATACAGCATTTGAGGATCCTGCGTGGAATCTTTCGAGAGTTCTGTGTTAAACCACTTCGAAAGTCATAATAAATCATCGCTCTTGAATTTTCTCGAGTCAATTCCATTTTCTCAACGACTAAACAAGTTTCACAAAACCTTGTGACAAGACCGAGAATCTTTCTTTAAATAAATAAATGGTATTCGATTTTTAAAACCAAGGAGTTTTCAATTAAAAAGATTTTAATATGACATGATTATGATTGGAACAATGGAAATATTCCATTCCCGATACTTTTAGTGCAGCCTATGTATAATATTTTTCGATAGGTAATATAAAAGGCATGTTATTGAATTCCATTCTTCATCAGCTACATTTTTATTTAAATCCTTTATTATTACCCGATAATAAGCAAAAATGTTTCAAATAAAGTAACTTTTTGTTAACTGAATCCACCAATCGTACGCTTACTTCGTGCTGGACAAATATGGATGCAGTGGAAAAGGCAGGAAATCCTTGCCTTTATATACAAACAATCTAACACAAAATAACAGTAAAAAAAATAGCTAAACGCTTAATCATTATTAAAACCTGCTTTAAAGTTATACTGGACTGTTAGACTACACATTTGTATAGCAGTCAAGATTCCACAAGTATGATGGGACACAAGCTCAATGTTTAAAACAGTAATTGAAAAAAAAACCTCAACTTCGTACAAAGTTTACCTTAAAGAAGAAAAATTCAAATATTTTACCCTATCACTTCTAACGACATCCCATATCTTAAAATCTATCTAACCATTTAGGCTACAGAGCATTCTAAAGAAATAGACAATAATACATACATAAATGCATATATACACTAAAAATATTACTATTAAATATAGATAAAGTGAAGAATATCTCCATATATTTGATTTCAAAATTAATTTGAAACAATCGTGGTTCTATTTTGTATTAATATATTATTTCCAACCATAGTCTTAAGACTTATAAGTTATTAGGGCTTAAAAACAAAAAAATACAACTTACAAATGCCGGTATCTGTGTAGTGAGAAGGAAGGCTGCGGCTTCCTTTACTAGATGTCGCTGTCGTGCTAGCTGTTCGGGCGTGGCGGCGTGCCGGATGCCGGCCGAGTACACGTCCGGGTTGAAGCGCACGTCGAACTCAGACTCTTTGAGCGACGCAACGGCGCGCGCCGCAGACGCTACCACAGCGCGGGAACGGTCATTCGCTATAATGCAACATTGTGTTAACAAAATATTCGTGATTGTAGCCCAAAATCCTTAGTATCTAGATCTCTTCTATAGCCCCCCAGCATGAGTTATTTATTGTATCGCAAACGAATGACTTTGTATGACAAAATATTTACAACCATTTACGTCCGCCAAGGATGCTGTTCATATTTCCATATAATTTTAGTAGACAATACCACAGTTTAAGGATTGGGAATACCAATCATATGCCGGACGTCAGTCAGAAAGAGATTAGAATGGCTCTCCAGCACCTTAAAAACGACAAGTCCCCGGGCGTGATTGGAATTACAGGGGAGCTTCTGAAAGCGGGTGAAAAACTAATACTTAAAATTCGTCAGAACCTCTTTAATTCCGTTCTCCATGGTGGCACTACTTCTGAGACGTGGAGCAGAAGTGCTATGGTCTTGTTCTTCAAGAAACGCTCTCTTGAAGACCTACAGACCTATTTCCCTTCTGAGCCGCGTCTACGTGCTGTTTTCGAGAGTTATTACGAATCGTCTCGCACGCAGACTCGACGACTCCCAGCCTCCCGAACAAGCCGGTTTTCGAAAAGGTTTTACCACCATAGACCACATACATACCCTTCGGCAAATTGTACATATAGAAGACCGAAGAGTACAATCTGCCGCTTTATCCTGCATATGTGGACTATGAGAAAGCCTTTGATTCCGTCGAAATTTGGGCGGTGCTGCAGTTCCTTCAGCGGTGCCACGTTGACTGTCGGTATATCGAAGTGCTGAAGTGTTCGTACAGTAGGGCTACGATGGCTATCCGAGTACGAAACCTATCCAACTAAAGAGAGGTGTAAGACAGGATGTACGTCATATCCCCGAACTTCGATTAACAATACCAACTAGATAACGGGTCACGTACAAAATCATATCTAAATGCTGTCCGTGTGAATATATACTTATACAGCTACATTTGTTTACTAAAGAACTGAGACAAAAAAATTAAAACAGTTTTATGTTCAACCCAATTACAACCATGGCATCTAGTAATAATATCACAAATCTTACGAGCATTAGTTACAAAAAGGAACAAATCAATGCATTACTCCTGTCACTTGGAAATGAAAAGACATAGGTTAAATAACATTTAGTGTGAAATCAACCTTAAGTAATAATAAATTAAAGTACTTTTTCCCGTTATTGCCTTGCACGCTACGTCGTTTTGTTTAGTTTCTTTTTGCTTCTTCGAATTTTGCTACAGGAGGTATGAGTCGCGTTGAACACTAAAATTTATAATATGATCATAAGTTTAGTTAAAATTATTTATGTGTTGGGCATTTATGTTTGTTGGTATACACATACTTTCCACACTAGCCATTAAACATAATATAGTATGTAGTATAATGATTGATTTAATTAGATAATTCAATGTATTATATATATATATATATATATATATATATATATATATATATATGTATGTATGTATGTATGTGTGTGTGTAGGTATTCTTTTTTATCACACCAATTTGCCCTACCCCTGTTATCTTTGTGTAATCCTGTTCATTCATTGGTTAACTCGAAGAAATTGTGTTAGCAATAAGACCCCCCATTACGTACTTCTTTGTGTTGGTGTGCAATAAAGAATAATAAATAAAAAATGAAAACAATGAAGCTAAGTATCTAATAAAATCACACAAACAGAGACAAAAGTAGCAATTACCGTTATTTAAAATTCTGATAACAAATTACTAAAACTGATTACAATAAAAATCTACTCCATGCATCAACTGTTCTGTTTCACAAATATTTACGCGTATATTGGCCAACCTTGGCAAAACATTTGTAGGGTTGCTTTAAAATCGGTAATTTTGTTTCAAATATGATATTATTTGTTAGTTTAGAGCTTAAAATATAACTTATTCTACATGTACTTAAAGAAAGTAAAACACCTCGGCCGTTAAATTGTTTTTCGGGCATTATTCTTGCAACTTTAAATACACATTACGGCATTGTTAAACGTGTTTACATTGCATGTACTTCAAGTCAACTCAACGAAATAAGAGCTCACGTTTCCAGTGCGCTGTTATTTACTGGTACGTATTTTTTGCGACGACCCGATATCTAGTTGGTTTTGTTGATCGAAGTCCCCGAAACTCTTCACCACTGCATTGCAAGACGTTTTCAAGCTACTGGACTGGAAAGGATACGGTATTAACGTCAATGGTAAGTACATCACTCACCTTTGATTTAGCGACGATATAGTCCTTAGGGCAGAATCTCTGAAAGACCTAAGCACTATGCTCAATGACCTCAACAATATCTCCCAACGAATAGGTCTTTAAGATGAACATGGGCCAAACAAATATCATGTTTAACGTCCATGTCACACCTTTGTCACCCGATCCTATAAAAAAAAACCTATGCCGGTAGTTGGGAACACTAAGCTTGAAGTTGTTGACGAGTATGTTTACCTGGGACAAATAGTCCGACTAGGTAAGTCCAACTTCAGCCGAAAGATTTATCGACAGATTCAACTCGGCTCGGCAGCGATTAAGATACAGGAGATTAAGATACATCTTCTCGTCAGACATACCTCAAAACCTCAAAACTAGACTGTACAACCAGTACGTGTTGCCACTAATGAGCTATGGATCTGAGACATGATCCTTCACTGCTGGCCGTATGAGGAAGCTCAAAGTAGCTCAGCGAGCTATAGAGAGAGGGCTGTACTCGTACTAATACTACTTAATTAAATTTAACAATCGAAGACTGAAACATGAAAAATGAAGAAAATGTCACGAAAAAATTTGGCAGTGCAACACTTGTAAATGTTTTGTTTCTTGTAATAATAAAAAAAAACGATCCTGCTACTAGCATATACACCTGCATATCTCATCAATTCGTTATACAAGGCTTTCACTCCTCACGCCCTTTTCCCTAAAAGTTGAAATTTACACGATTTTTGGCAATCTCGTCGTCGCTATGAACGTTATTTGCTATTAGAATATAATATGTTACTATTAGAATTACTATGAAATATTTCGTAAATGATTTCTTCGATTCAAAATTTTATTACCTGCAGTCCGTACGGATAATGAATGGGATAAGAAATGGCGGCTCATCGAGCCCGTACCGTCACATGCACAGTAACAACAGCGAAAACCCGTTAGTAACGGTATATCGTTATATAGGTATATTATTTCGTTAATTGGAATTTTTTCTATTAATAGGAAAATATTTAAAAAAATTGTAAACGCAAGTAGGTAAATTAATTTTAAAATAATATTTATAACTAGCGACCAGCTCTGATTTCGTCTGTGTAGGATCTATTAATATGACGTTATTTAGACTTAATATAATGAATAATAATTAAAGACCATTAATTTTGTCTTATCAATATTTATATTATGCATTTGTGTGTATTTTTTTGCAGTCTTTACCGGCGGGCGTAAGTATAGAAAGTGACACTGTGCGAGCGAGATGTGAATAGAGTCGACGCCATTTTCAATCCCAATCTTTAACCGCATGGGTAGTAAATCTATATAGTACACGACACCGCGTGCTCTAATGGTCAAAGTATTAAAAATGTTTAAGACCCTTTTTCTTTTATCCGTTAGCCCTGAATCCAAAAAAGATACAAACAAAAATTGGCGAAAAACAAATTGATATTTTCGATATTGCATAAACATTGATAAAATAATCGAGCCGTAAAATGGAATATAACAAATGAATCGTATTAAGCCAGAAATGCTCCTCAATATTGTAAACTGATATTTAAATTGAGTAAATTTTTACGCAGCGGGCAGCCTGCACGACGTAGCGGTGCTCTTGAATTTTGAAGGAACAGACAGACACACGCGCTTGAACCCGTGGACGTGTCCCGCTTGACTTAACGGACGCCATAATTGCCTGTGTGTTTGCGCGTATACTACTGGTACTCTATCTCCTAGTGAAATAGTTTCCGATTGTCGAGGACATACAACACCATTATCTTTATTATCACGATGTTATCATGATATTGGTATTAAAAAACGAACCAAAAACAAATTTTATCTTAAACATAAACTATGAATTTTGTTTTATTTTATAGTAGCGGATAGCGCTGATCCCGAAAAGTCTAGTGACAAATAACTAATTAAAATGACCATTAAAAATATCCAAGGAGTACATATCAAATGATAAGTGGTAGTGATGATCACGATGAAATAGAAATATTAAGAAATTTCTAAAATTATACAAAGAAAGAATCTAGTTTTATTATAAAGATAAAACTACTAAATAATTTGTATTATCATAATTACTTACTGTCATCAGCTTCATGCTTGTCACTGCAAATAGAGTCTGTTATGCTCTCAACAATTTTTTTAGCAAAATCGGTGTCAATATCTGAGTAATTGTCATTCAATAACAACTCTTCCTCTTTTTCTTTATCGCATTCCTTTGATATGTTTGATTCAACTTTAATATCCTTTTTCTCGGCCACCTTTTTATTACTGTCTTCCTTTTTGGCCTCAGTTTTTTCTACTTTTTCTTCTTTCTTTTTCATTTCCTTCTTTTGTTTCTTATCTGTAATTTCCTTCTCTTGACTCTTCGAGTCTCTCTTTTTGTCTAATGTTTCAGTCTCTTTGGCAAATTCTTTTTTGTCACTATCCTTACTAGGTTCAATAGATTTTTGTTCGGAAGTTTCACGCTGTCGTTTCACGCTTAACTGTTGTAGGTGGAACGCAGCGTAACGTATAAACATGAAATAACGTGCTCTAAAATTGAAAAATTATAAAATTAAGCACTCAATTTAATAAACAATATTTTGAATGTGTCATTTTACAGTATAAAATATTACTTACTCTACAAAACTATCAACTAATTCTTGTCTAAGGCAACAAAGTTTGTGTTTGTGTATTATAGGGAAGCCCATGGATTTAATATCTTCTCGAAGCTCATCGTCTTCCACTGAAAAGGAGAAAAATCATCAAACGTAAATTTCAAGAATATTAAAATATTGTTATCACCACTATACACTATTTCCATATGGATTCATTATTTTTTAACTCTACTTACAACAAAGTTAGTTATAAAAAATCGTACAAATAAAGATAAATTTATGACTTTGATATTCGTTTTTATTTCTCTTATAATTCTTAAACCTGAATAACACATGATTGGCATAAAACTAGAAAATATTTATACATTTCTGGTTATCATGCATTTGTCATAAGGATTAACACAGTTCAAAATAAGCTTAGAAATTCGGCGGCTATTGCCGATACCGGTTGTTTTCTGCTGAGCTGTTCATCGAAATAGGTTATAATTTTTAGAATATTTTTACACTTACACTGAAGAAAGTTGACATCAGGCGGAAAAGTGCGTAGAAGATCTAAGATGTAATGGCGGCCGTCATTTCCGATAATTCCTTTGCACTCCACACTTGAACATAATTCTACAGTTTCACCATTTGCGCTGATAACTGAATGTGGCATTATTTTTAGTTGCTGGCCGGCTTTACTTAACTGTGGAGGCAAACATTTTGTTTTGTTTAAATACATTTAAATTAAAAACAAGTTGGTGGTAGTTATATTGGCAAGCATTGTGTGACCCAATATGTGGTAGAGCCATGCTGGAGTGTACAAGTAGAATATAACAGCGTAAAATAGCAGGGTAATGCTACTGTTTCGTATGAGGAGGACCGAAGACCCTGTTTATTGGTAAAGAGGCATTCCATTTTAGTCCTATAGATAACAACGCATCTACATTTTAATTCTTAATCAAGGATAGACGTAGATGAATACAGGCCACAGCATCCACTTACGGTCCGCGCATTCTATTTTGACCAGGCCGAAATTGGCTTTCCGAGACATTCGCGCATGTGTACAGACGCTACTCAATAGAGATGTACCAGTTCATATTCGCTACTAAGATTGCTTAGGGAACAGTTTGTTTCGTCTATATTAATTATAGAATAAATTGAAAGTTATTATTACAACGAAAATATCTTTATGTATTCTAATAAGACAATAGTATCTAATTAAGAATTACGATAAACAGTTTGAATATATAGTAAATATATTCGCGCATGTGTACAGACGCTACTCAATAGAGATGTACCACTTCATATTCGCTACTAAGATTGCTTAGGGAACAGTTTGTTTCGTCTATATTAATTATAGAATAAATTGAAAGTTATTATTACAACGAAAATATCTTTATGTATTCTAATAAGACAATAGTATCTAATTAAGAATTACGATAAACAGTTTGAATATATAGTAAATATACTATATTAGCGAGGAGAGCATTCTTTCACTAACCCCAAAATAATATAACTTAGAATTGTTCAATAAAATATTTAATACAAATCAACATAATCACTGTATTTAAAAGGACACGTTAGACACCAATGAAAAAAAAACGAATCATAATCGATAATAACGATAATCGATTGTATACGTAATTGTAACCGCATTTGCACCTCTATAGTATTTGCGGAATAGCATGGTGCAGGTGACAGTTTACACTTTTGGCGTGCCTAGAGATTGCACATTGTTAAATCGATTTAAAAAAGTCAATTAACGATACACAAAGCAAAGCACAAATTATCGATATAAAAATTAAAACCGAAACATGTTTCTTTAGAAACATATGCAGTAAAATTAAGTTAAAGTTTATTACAAATTATGACATAATAGCTGTTACCGGACCTCACCCGCTTGGTATTTATTACGATTGAATTTCATAAGTTTTAATTTTTTGCGCGGAATCCTAATCTTTTTTTCTAAAATAAAATTAGCCTGTGCTACTCTTTATAACATCAGCTAAGCCGGAACAAACAGACACAAACATTTTAAAAATTGTTTTTGTCTTTTTGTTATAAATACCATATATAGTGTCATATGTATTTATTAAAAGGCTATTATAGTGATATTGCAAACAGACACTTCAATGTAATAAAATTTAAACAAATAAAATGGCTGTCAGCATCAATAATTTTCAGTACGGTGTAGACTGTTCTGGCAGCTTTTCAAGGTACGAGTGCTAGTGCCTTTTGCTATATGTGTATTAGTTTTGCCAGGTCCAATGAGCCAAATATCGGGACGGAACATAAAAATAATCGAGAATTTGGTTTATAAATGTAATGAAATAAAAATAAAAAAATAGATTTTTTTGTAGTCATTTTGACCGCCATGAGTTACTATAAAGTCTTTTTGTCACAATGTAATTTGATTTACAATTTTTTTTTTGCCTGAGCTGACCAACGAATAATTTGTCGTCCATGCATCGAAAACACTGCATATTCGTCTATGTGAGTTTTGTTTCCGTAAATCAGAATTTATTGAACGATTAGTTCCAATTCCGATACATATTTACGTGATTTTTACATATTCGATTTATTTCAAAACCGTTTTTTGATAGTTTGTGGTTGTTCGTTATGGAATGGCATAGTTTAGTGTGGCATGTCACTGTCGTAAGTGGGCGGTACCCATCCATGACGTACAACAATATCTGTATGACAGCTTATCTAAAAAAATACGAACTTCATAGGCGTGAGCTGTCACCCGCACCATGCTATAACGCAAAGACTATAAGTTTTAGTTACCGTCAACCAAACTCCTCTTGTTACCAATTTGTTTCTAAAAACTATATCTGCGCAGCCACTCGTCACTAACTTCAGCCCGGCCAAGACAACACGCGCGTACTTTACCATCAGGTGGATTGTGTGCTCATTTGTCCAAAAAAAGTACCCACATTTTAAAAGATTTCACAACTTTAAATAAAAAATTTAGGTTCCCATTCTCATTCTAAGTTAGAATTAAGGTTATTTTTAAAACCGTTTACGTTTTAAAACCTACCAGGTCCATGTATTTGGGATGGGAGAGCACAGTGGTGCCGAAGTCGATGCTGCCGTAGACCACGCTCTGCTCCTGCTCCTTCTCCAGGATGCCGGGGATGATGGACTGCGCGGTGACGCGGTAGCCGCGGTAGTCCACCACCACCGTGCCCAGCGTGTGCAGCCCCGCCGTGTCCACCGCGCTGTACACGCGCACGCCTTGCAGGTCGTTACGCTGAAACAACCAAATTCATCCTTCTCAACCTGCATTCCGTTAGAAATCTAGCAAATGGCTCTTTGGCGCAGTGGCTTAGCAATGAGTTGAAGCGCTAAGAGCCACGGGTTTGAATCCCGCACGAAACAAATAGATGTTTGTCCTTATGAAATTTATGTATGTAAACTTCCCCCACGATACAAGAGAAAAGGTTACGTTTCTTAAAGGAAAATAACAGAAAAAAAAAGGAAAAAAAAAGATGTAAAAGCTTCGATATTTGTACTTTTTAGCTGTTCCACTGTCATATAACAAACAGTTGTAATTTCGTGCTAGGATCGACATCATAAAACACCAAATAAATTGTTTCGTTTCCTAACTTTGAGGATATTTGTTTTGCGTAAAAAATGTATCTCTACCTTCTTTGATTTTACTTCTCGGCAAAAAAATAATACAGATCTAAAGGGACAGTGTTTGGGAGATTATGACACATCTTCTCATCATGTATTGTTCAAAACTCTAAAAGAAATACAATCAGGGCAATAATTTCAGTGATGACTTATGGATCTGAGATCTAATTCTTCACTGCTGGCTGTATAGAAGCTCAATCAAATGAGCTATGCAAAGGAATATGCTTGGTGTTTTTCTGCGTAATAGACTTTGCCGTAAACTGAAGTGGTAATGGGCCGAAGAAACAATAATTATTCAAGTTCTTCTCCATTGGTTGTCGGTTCTCGAGTGGTGATAAGGGAAGTTTAGGACAATCCCTCACTATTAGTGGTCGATGGATGCATGTCGCTTAGGACCATGTTTTGTGTCATTTCTTGGGGGAGGCCAAATGGACTTATTAGTTTTTTTTATAGGATAGGGGTGACAAACGAGCACACAGTCAACCTGATGGTAAGTAGTTGCTTTGGCCCATACACATCTACATCCATCCTCAACTACGAATAAAAATGCAAATGCGTGTGCCACCCGTGAGGACTAAGATTGAATGCCTTGTTTCCAGTAAAAGGATCTCCGGTTTTCTACACTCACCATACGAAACACAGCAGCGTTAAGCTGAACCCACATTTGTGAGCACCGTACGCACCGTACGCGCCGTACGCGTCGTATTTTAGAATTCGTTGCATGAAATCATATGAAACCTAGCACATTACACCCGCACCGTACGTGCCACACTTTATAAAATGCGTTAAATACTCGAATATTGAAGGACGCATGCTGATGACGTCATATAACCCGGTGCGTACGGCGCGTGCTGATACTCAGTGTTGTCTAATGTTGCCAACTTAGTGGATTTTCCACTAAAACTGGTGGTTTCGACTTTCGTTACGAATTATATTTTTACTTCATTTCATGAGTATATTCTGTTATGAGTGACTTTAGTGATTACTGTCTTAATATTTCTGCATTCCTATGCCCAATTTTCTTCTAAATCTTCAGTTTCCCATAGAGAGATATGGTTTTAGTATATGTAATTATTCTTGAAATTTCTTGTATGTTAAATAAGTCTTTATATTAAGTATAATGTTCTCCATACAACTGCCTTTTTAAATTAATATTATGAATCCAGAATCTTCTTTTTCTTCGAATTTTATTTTCTTCTTCCTCTGTCAATAAGCAGACTATTACAATATTTTTTCCACAGCGGTCCAAACGATTCCGAGCGATCAATGTCACTGTACCGTTTCACACCAGTGGTTGGAAAAAACAGCAAAAGTTGTTACCAATACAAAAGGTTTGCGTGCGGCAAGGACGGCGCGTGCGTGCAAATGTGCGAGGCCATCAGTAAAATGCGGCGCGTACGGCGCGGATAAATGTGCGTTCAGCTTTAAGCTGCTATTTTACGCTGGTATTCTGTAAGTGTGGTCCTTCCCCGATCGACCCGATCCATTCGTGCTACAACTATACCAGTAATATAGTTACAGCATGGCTCTACCACGTAAATGTTAATTAACTAATAATTACGCTATTTATAATTACTATTCTATTATAAAATGATGATGAAAAAAAATTGATAATAAGAAGAATATTTATACAGCTTTGCTAAACTTCACTTACCGGTGCAACGAAGGCAGCTGCATCACCGCCCAAGTCCTTGTAATGGTCGCGGACATCGAAACCGAGCGAGAAGAAAATGTTGTTCCAGATGAACATCTGCATTTTGGGCTCCTCCCCGGGATTGATGGCCATCACGTTGCCGTCCACCACCGCCATGGCGCCGCGCGTCGCCGCTGCCACGAAATCGCTGTGCACCTACCGATTGATCGTCAAACCCAACATTATACTATTTCTTAAATTAAGTGCTCATAGTTGATGGATGAAAAGTAAAAAATAACACATAGAATTCTTCAAGACTACATCTCCTTAAATGTTGTTGTTTTCAGATCAGATTTATGCAGAATTCCATAAAGATATGTAATCTTTATTATAATTGTTGTTGTGTTTGTCCTTTTTTAACCCCCGGCGGGGTGTTATATGTTTGTAGTGTGAATCTTTGTGCCTGTCTGTGACATCATAGCTCCTGAACTGATGAACCGATTTTGATTTAGTTTTCTTTCTCACAGGGAGCTGTGGTTAAGTTATCAAAACATCTATATTTATGGCACAAAAATTACTCATTCGATATAACGGTTTAGTGCCAATAAAGTAAATCACTAAATCGTGACGCGATAGGTGGCGCTGAGGTCGAATTATTTATAAATTTTATATTTGCACTAAAAGTCCAGAGTGAATTAAGAATAAATTTTACTACACCACCTACCGCATAGACCAGCCCAGCTAGTGAATGTTTAAAATCCTACGAAAGAAATAAAAGGCAGAAAAAATAACAACAATAAGTATATTGCCAGACAGCAGGCATAAACATACATGGTAATTACAAAAAAAAACATGAAAGAATAAATTTTAATTGTTTATAAACTATTTATCTATCACTAACGTAGCTTTAAGGCAAAAAAATGGACAAACGAAACTTTTACGTCGAAAAAAAAAATATATCTATTAACACACAGACAGACATCCTTTTAAAATAGTAGAATCTAAGTTTACGTATCATTAAAACATGAAGGTATATTGAAAATTACTCCACCAAAAATGAAACAGTTCGCAAACCTTGAATATGGCGCGTTCCCTCAACAGTCGCTCGGGCAGCGTGGCGCGCGGCAGCTCGCGCGTCGTCTGCAGCTCCTCGTTCCAGTCGCGCGTCTGCCCCGGGATGTGCTCCTCGTAGCCCAGCTTCGACGAGAACGCTGCCATACACACACCCAACTCATATCATCATCAACTAAACAATTGTCAATAACAAAGGCTTCTTAGGAAAGCCAAAGTAGTAACACTGAGAGTCATTATAATTTTTATGAGTATTAGCCTTTTTAAGTCCGCTAAATATAGGGTCTTTCAAAAATGTGCCAGCAGGATTACATTTTTGTGATTTATCTATTATAATCCACCAGCTCAATGCCGATATACAAGAATTGGTGAGGCTGCTCTCAATCATTAATTTATGCGATTTTAGTTAACAACAATACGTATATAATTTATGATATGTATAATTATAATACATATAAAGTGAAAAAATACCTCTTCTAATAAAAACTATTAAATGTCCTGAGCGGTGAGTGCTCTTGAGACCTGTTGAGCATTCGGCGGAGCGAAACGTTCAGTGTGCGTGAAGGGCATATTCACACTACACTGAATTCAAGAATCCTAATTAGGATTTACAAACAGGCCTTCTTTTATTATAGTGTCCTAAGTAGATTACGTTTTCAAAATATTATTAGATAAACGTTTACAATTTTTAATTACCGTGGAAATGTATACAGATAAAAACGACAACGTTAAAACTAATGGCAATGTCATACGCTATATCCAACTTTGCGTTGCGCAAATTTGACGAGGATTAAGTTGCGTATGCACTAATGCAGTCCTGCTCTGTCACTTCCTTTCTCACTCATAACACACAAGCATACACGCTCACACTCGTAAATGTGTTGGGTGGATGTTCTGCTCTTTATCGGTCGACAGAGCCTTGTGCACCGTTTACAGGTAAGGTTAACGTTTGGAAAAACTACAATTTGCATTTTACTGAATGGCCTACACTGAATTCAAGAACCCTAATTACGATTCTGTCGTGTGGTGATGGTATAAGAGATTCTATTTCCCCATATCATACCATGACACGCAAGAGGCGGCGAATCTTAGTCATGACAAATGTAAATAATAAGATAATGTAGTTGCCAACCCGCCTGCCAAACGTGGCAACTACGGGAATAGGGAGAACCCCTATTACTCAATCCCATGTTCAGAGGGACTTTCGATAGGCTGCAATGAATATATGAAAAAAAAATATTTAGGAAAGAAAAAGAAGAAAAGCTCCTGATAACATTGCATAGAATTCGGGATCCTAACTAGAAACGAGAGCAAACGCCTACACGGATATAATTTTATCCGAAAAATTTGGGAGTATTTTTCATAAATCGAAAAATTAATAAAATAAATGGTTAATTATTTTAAAGAATAATAATAGATTAATATATGTGAAGGTCGCTAGTCTTATATCAATTGGAACTACCTTATTTCGATTCACTTCTTTATCAATTTTTTTTAATAATAGATTCTGCATATTTAATTAAATATTTAATTTAGTGTCCGATTATATTCAAATTACCCAACTCAATATATATACATATTATATCTCTCAAGATCTTCAATTCCCGAGAATCTTTATATAAATAATTACGATGGTTTTTGTCCTAAATGTAATGTTTTTCTTTTAAGAATTTTAGTTTATTTATTATCACTCCCTCACTCTTGAGGCGCAGTGACCCCGAAGTGGGTGGCTTGGCCTCCGATACGAGAACACGTCACTTCTCTCTGTCCGGGGCTAGATCTCGCCAGTTGTCATGAGCTTGAAGCGCGCGCAGGTCGGCTTCCACCAGGTCGCTCCAGCAATATTTGGTATTTATCATATTCTTTGTTTATTTATTTAAAGGCTTCTTTATTTATTATGTTTATACAGAAGCACTAAAATGCGAACGTCCGCTTTCTTTGTTTTCACAGCTAAATCCGCCTATTGCCGCTTTGTATCACATGCTATAATATGAGTCTATTTTTATAAATTTTTGTAAAATATTGTACAGTTTTCGTTACTTACTATCCTCAGCTCGTATTGCATCCACGGTGTGATCGAGCATTGGCGAAGCCCATTGGTACACTTGGTATGGGGTTGCCACTCTCTCGAAAGGATGTTTCTGCATGCGTCTCTTTTGAACTAGGGCAAAATTTCTTTTAAAGGCCGGAGATACAATGCTTAGCAGCTCTATTAAAGAATGATATAAAAGCGACGGGTTGGATGGACGTGGGTTGAAAACTTCTTCGGTAGACCTGTAAAATAATTTGAAATTGTTTTTGTAACATTGTCATATTCATATTAATTCATGTTTTGCATACTTGCAAAACTGCAAAATCTTACCGATTTTAAGTAAATATTATGGGACCTAGGTAAAGTGAGATATATTAACAAGATTACTGTCACGGATTAGTAAGCTGAAGTGGCAATGCGCCGGCCATATACTCGAAGAACGGACAACTGGTGGGAAAGAAAGATTCTCGAGTTGCAACCTGGTACTGTTAGGCGAAGTATGGGACGCCCCCCATTAGATCGAGTGACGACCTGGTAAGGCATGCAGGAGGTCTATGGATACAGGTGGCTCAGGACCGTGCAGCAGTGGATTTGTGAAGGGCTGTAATGATGATGATGACTGTGATAGTATAATTCCACGATAAATAAATCGGTTAACTGGCCTCTACTATTAAGTATGATGAGACAAAACTGCCTAAGTTATTTTAATGCCTATAAAAGTTGTTACTTTTGTTATTTCCAAATCATAATCGATTTTTATTTTGTTATTTGTATTTTACGACATTCACATATTGCGTTAGTTGAAATAATTTACTTTGTCTTTAAGTAATACATACCGACATACATAAGCCCTCACACCTGTCAACCAGATGGGTCGGCAGAAACTACGGACTTCCGTCTGACGCGATCCTAACACACCACTTTCACTTCTTTTACATCCATATATCTTCACATACATCGTATAAGAACATTTAATTGGGGTAATTTTTTTATAAAATATATGTGACGAACGACCACACAGTCTACCTGGTAATAAGTGGATGTTGTGGTCCGCAGACATCCACATCTATCATCACGGTACACAATGGCTTTATTCTGCTATTTTACGTTGGTATTTCGTAAGAACGTGGTCCTATCCCGGTCGAGCCAACCTATCTGTGCTGCAACTATATATATAGCCGAATTCATAGAACTTATTTCTAAAATGGTCAAATTACAAATATAAGATTACTGGTTAAGGTAGAATCCTCGTGGGCACGCTGTAATGTGGAAATGACGGTCTTCTAGTGTGACGACGTACAAGTAGAGAAGATCGCCACACATCTTACGAGGCCCGGGTGGAGGGTTCCAGCCTGACGTCGTTAGAACCTGACATGAAAAAACACTATTAAAATTCTTAGTTAAGATCTTGTGTAGTAGGTACATTAATTTGAAGGGTCCTTAATAATATTATTAAAGTCCGGTGTTTAAGAACATTAGATCGCAAGGTCGATAAACATATCGCGCCGTGCCCGGTAAACCTACTTGCTTGATTCTGCCGGTTGGGACAGGATAGATAAAAATCCCTACCGTCGCGAGCAATAGCGCTTTATCGAGTATCCTGAAAAAGAACCTGGAGCCCGGCTGGAGGATAAATCAAGCAATAGATCCCAGAGGAACCAGAATGCAGTTTATGTAAGTACACTGAAATCGATTCTGTGTTGCTTCCTTTTTTCACTTATAATATTATAAGTAATTGTTTCTGAGGGAAAAGGCACTAAAATATAACTACAACCGGAAAGAAATTTGCGGGAGTTTTGGAGGTAGCTTGAGGCACTTGCTAGTAATATTATGATGTAAAATTATAAATATTACTTTCAGTTTACCTCAGCAAAAGCTTTTTTAAGATCAAAGGCACGGAAATTGTTTTTTAGTTATTACAAATGCATAGGCTACCTTAAGACACTGAGGTGCCTTATTTTCCTTCGTGAGACCTGGATGAAGAGGCAATAATGGTCGCTCTGTGCTGCCCGGCATTATGTAGTCAGGAGGTGTGCAGTCTACACTTTCTGGACGTGACTTCTTCTTTTCTATAAAAACAGGAACAATAAAAATGTACATCGAAAAGTACGACATAATTTTCAAGTCACAGAGCTAACTACGCATCTAAGTGGTATGACTCCTATTCTCTCTTTTCCACTCTCTTACCTATTTTTACTGCTGTGTTGCAATACTGTGTAAAGGGTAAAGAGAAACAGAATAATTACCGACTATAAGGCATTCCATATTAGTTCTCAGGAGTATGAATGCATCTGTAGTCTTCTTAATTTGATGGTAAGTGGTTGCTGTGGCCCATAGACATCTACATCTATCTTCGTTTGCGAAATAAAATTCAGATGCGTTGTCAGCCGTGAGGACTAAGATAGAATGCCTCTTTTCCAGTAAAAAAGGGTGTCCGGTTCTCACCATACGAAACATAGCAGCACTAAGCTGCTATTTTACGCTGGTATTCTTGTGAGACTTAAATCAAGTGGACTGTAAGTTTGTTTATCATTCTAAATTACTTAAAATAAAACGCACCAAGTATATCGCCTTGGGTAATTATGTTTAGAAAAGCCAAAGAGCTGCATTCTTGACCAGCATAGGCATCAACATAGTCAATGGATTTGAGCAAATCACGCACATGACGAACATGTATGCGGGCCTCACGCATTGTGTAGGGTTCCTCAACCACCTAAAACAGATAAAACAAAAGGAATCAAAAAAGATAAAATCCAGAAAAATTTAATTCAATAAAAGTTAAATTACTCACTTTAATAACTGATCCTTCTTTGAGACCTTCTATATTTTTTAGTTCAGCAAAATTGTCGAGTGTAACACCGTCTAACTGTAAAGAAAAGCATGTTCTGTGGCATGTATCTTCACGATCCATTAGCACCTGATGAATTTCTTGAACCAACTCCATGCTGGAAACCTGTACAATGATAAAACGCATAATTATTATTTACATCATCATCGTCATCATCATTACAGCCCTTCACAAGTCCACCGCTAAACATAGGCCTCCCCCAAGGAATGCTACAAAGCTCGGCACTAAGCCATCTGCGTCTGTCGACTTTCTGCATGTCTTACAAGGTCGTTACTCCATCTAGTGGGTGGCCGCCCTACAATTCGCTTACTGGAACGAGGTTGCCACTCGAGAAATTTTCTTCCCCATCGGTTGTCGGTTCTTCTTATAATTATTACTATATAATTATTATTTATTAATTACGATTAGATCAATACCTGAATATCCAATGGTTCCGCTCCTGGACTAACTATCTTAACTGTAAAACCCATGTCTTGCATAAAAACAACTTCTGCATCTCTCTTTTTCTCATCACCATCCTCGCTAGGTGAAGACTCTCTGTCCTTGTCTCCATTTACTATTTTATCGCTTTCACCATTAACCTTTCCGCAATCACTTTTAGTCATTTTAGTTTTATTTCCCCCTTCTTTATTTTCAGGACTTTGATTACTAACAGATTTTTGTTTCTCATTAGAGTCCTCAATTTTTCCTGTAGCAGAATTTTTTTTGCTATGTTTCTTCTTATCATTTGGCTGTTTTTCTTCAGCTACTTTTACAGAAGGAGATTTCAATAAAGTTACATCAACCCCTTCATCTGACTTATTAGATTTTGAATCGTCGGAATCACTATTGACGCCGTTAGTAATTATTTTAGCACTATCACTACTACTAATATCACAATCTGAATCTTTTTTTGGATCACCATTTACAATATTTTCGTTAGGAGTTGCGGTTCCATTTAAAATCGGTTCTTTGGTACATGTTTTATCTTGCTTACTAGTATCTGCTTTCATCATCGTCTTTTCTCCGTTTATTTTTGCCACAGCTCCGTTAGGTTTAACTTGGTGCCTTTTCTCGGCATGCGATTTAGGTTTTAGAGCTTCTGAAAAAAATATATCATGATTTAGTAAATTGTTATAAAGTGTTGCTTTTACCAATAAGGGTATAAGAATTAATTATGTACCGGCATTTGGTGTAAAATGCGGTGGCGTGTTATTAGTTTGTGGCGAAGGAGCCTTGCGTGCGGCAGCCGCATATGATACGCGCGGTGGCGACGTCGCACAGGTGACGCCGCCGCCGCCTTCGTCATCAGCCCGCCCGTTAGGCGTACTTGTGAGACCGTTGCTACAATCCGCGGCTTTAACACCTATCTCCTTTTTCATTTTCAACGGTTGCTTGTTCTCCACTTTATCAACTAAACAGGCAATGGACAAATAAACAAATTAATATTTGATTATTTGACAAGATATAAATCACAACTCGATGTTGGGTGGCCATTACATTTTATTGAGAAAAAAAAATCAGAAATATCTTCATAAAATAATTTTTACGTTATAAAATGTTCGTGAATGCATTTCTACTCATTACCAAAAAAATTAACTAAGAAAATTAAGCTGCATCCACTTTATTCCTATCTGAATCCATAATCACGATTTATGAAATTTACTTGATAGAATAACGTAATTATTTTCAAAATCGTGAACAAAAACAGGTACACATAAATTATAAGCATGTAAAACTTCTACCGATTATTATACATTAATGGACGAGTCAGTTGCCGAGAGCGAGCAGTAGATATGGAATATTTTAAATATTTATGCCCCGTATATAATACATTGATTTTTAATAGACTATATTGGTTTCCGCGTAATGTTTCGTAAACGAGAGGCGTCAGGGACCGAGCGCGCATGTGCCATCTCGTGACTGGTAAACACGTGGTCTGCGCTGGCGCGGCGCCAACTATCTCCAGCGGAGAGTCAATAATAGACGGCAACGGGATGCCGCCAACAATAGACGCGATCGACGATACCTACACTTCAAACCTATCTACAGTTTTCTAACCCGTTAACAATCACTCGAAACATCAAAGAAATGACATCAATTTTTGTTGTAAATATTAATGTATCGAACAGATTTTATCACAAAACATATTAATCTGCTGTGCCTTGTACGCAATTCACATAAATTACTACTAATACAGCGTGATAATTTTACGTAATGATTTATTTGCCTAACAAATTGTTTATTTAAAGAATACCAACACAATCGCTTTTCTGAACGAATTTCGACTGCGTAGATTTATTGTATTACGTATAAAAGATAAGAGAAAAGCAACTACTGCGATCATTATGATGATAATAAGAGCGTCCTTTTCTTCATTTTAGTAGAGTACAGGAAATGCTAGTTTAGGGGGAAGATATGCCGTATCACTAGAAATATTTGATTTATCATCGTCACCACAAGATAACAGACGTAAGGAGCCTTTTAACTAGATACTAAACTAAAAGTGATAACCAGACGTTGACACGATTTTTTGTCGCGATCGTAAATCACCGTCTAACGAACATTTCATCATGTTCCTTTTATAGATATGACATTTTTATTATACGCAAAAGCTTAATCGCGTATCGTTTAATACCTTTTGTTTTGTATATAAACCGGAAAGAAATTTCTATTCAATATTTTTTTTCAACCTGTTTAACTGTAAATTTAAAATTCAATTTTAAACAATTTTAAAAGGAGTGGGTTCATAATAAGACTGTATTTTTGTGTGTATGTTAAACGATATCTAGGCAGGGAGTAAAATTTGATGACTTTTACCCAAAAAAGTAAAATTAGACATGAAATTTTAATGTAATTACATAGACGACGATATAGCCACCTTGAGCTTGTGTTATTGCTTAGTTCTTACTCATTGTAAATAATTCAACTTTAAACAATGTTTAAAAAAACCTAATACTTCAAAGAACTATAATAAAAATCCACACAATTTAATAGCTTCTAATTCAGATAGACTTCAGAAGCTGTTATAAAATTTATTCTTTTTAGTTTTTCGAAGTCGGTTTTTACTTTTTTTATTTTAAATTATTATTTTATACAATCTCATAAATCTTTATGATAAAATGCTATCACTATTTTATGCCTATCATATATTCTTATTAATTTCACACGTAATATGAAACATAGGCAGTTATTCTAGTTGGAGATTAGTAACACTTACAGAGGGTTTCAATGTAAGAAATCTGATAAGTGTCGAGTAAATGCAATATTCCAGTCAAAAGAGAACAGGCTATTTAATAAAGTGTTCTTATAAGATAGGTGTTTACGTCAGACGTAATCCTAATCTACCTAGACTGATAACTGTGTAAGATGTAAGTTAAAGATTGATCGTTCAAGATGTGAGACGTCTGGCACAGCGATCGCCAATCGGCTCGCCGGGTGTTTTCATTATGGCAAATCCTTCCTACAACGAAAGAGATCCACATCCAGCAGTAAACTTTTACGGAAAAAGGAAGGACAAGAAATATAAATAAAATATAAAACTTTAAAACAAAAACGTCTTGAATTTGTTTTTTTTTTTTATATGATAGTTTGACAAACGAGCACACAGTCCATCTGATGCTAAGTGGTTACTGTGGCCCATAGACATTTACATCTATCCTCGTTTGCGAATCAAAATGCAGATGCGTTGTCACCCGTGAGGACTAAGATGGAATGCCTCTTTTCCAATAAAAAGGGTGTCCGGTTCTCTACACTTACCATACGAAAAAAGGGGAAAAAGTTTCTTCGTATATTGTATATAAATATAATAAATATACGTGGTAGATCCATGCTGCAGCTATAGTTGTAGCACGAACGGGTCGGCTCGACCGGGGAAGGACCACGCTCTCACAGAATAAAAGCGTCAAATAGGAGCTTAACGCTGCTGTGTTTCCTATGGTGAGTGTAGAGAACCGGAGACCCTTTTTACTGGAAACGAGGCATTCCATCTTAGTCCTCAGGGGTTGCAACGCATCTGCATTTTGATTCTTAACCGAGGATAGATGTATATGTCTATGGGCCACAGCAACCACTTACAATCAGGTGGACTGAGTGCTCGTTTGTCACCCTGATCCTATAAAAAATATCTCAATGTCAGTTATTCCATACAAAATTTCGTACAAACTTGCTCAAAATATATGGAAGACCTGATTTTTCTTGCGATTAGGAAGATGGATCTATAGTAAAAGTTGTTCATATTGACGCGTAGAATAGAAAGCCCTACTTTGATTAAACCATACATATAACTATTTTTTTTTAAATAATTTGTGAATATTAGTTAGACATGTAAATAAAAAAATTAAACTGATAAAAAGGAGGCCTTATCATTTATGTCATTTATTCAGAAGAAAAACCTATACATAATATACACAAATATATTGATATATTCGTTATTAATAAACTATTCATTTTTAAGTATTTCTGGAATACATTCATAACTATGAACTTAACTACTAAGCCATAGCATAAAATAAATTTTCTCATTAATCGGGTATTAGTTAAGCTGCTGGCATATACAATTTTTCACGCACACTAGCATCATGCAAATTGTCTTATACACACTACAATATAAAGATGCCGCACTCACGGAACTGTTACTTGCATGGAGTGCGGTATCTAGTCAGAGCGCGCGATGACTTATCATTAATCTATGGCCGTATCATTTGTCTCTTTTTGTTAGCGCAACGTGTCATAACAAATAACTGTACGTAGATATAGTACTACCTGCGCCACTTTAAAATACAATAATGTTAGTGTGTAACCTGTCTATCTTTTTTAATACGTCTTTGATAACCACGAAGTATTTTATAGGAACAGCGACTAATCTTTAGTTAGCTTGGGATACATCCATTTTTATAAATTTATAATCGGGGAACGCGATGGTGTCTATTTGAGTTAATATTGGAAACTTTACCAGAAAAGCACTAGTACAAGAGCAAATAACAGGCTTGTTGACTATTCAAAGACTAAGGTTTAACTTACAATAAAAACATGTTCTTTTTTTTGGATTTGTAATACATTTTTTTATTTTATACATGTCACTGTAATGTTCTAAGGTCTGAAAGAAAGTCTATATCACATATTCGTTTACAGTTTGTAACATCGAATATAATTAATTGAAACAGGCGTTACTTTTCAAAGTCCGTTATATTCAAGATGTTAAAATTAATAAGTTAAGAGCTACGTGGAAAAAAATGAAGTGTTTTACGCACTTTGAAAATTGTTTGCACTATTACCACCACTACTAATCCCAACATTACTAGATTACTACCCCCAACACTACTCAATAGAGAGTACATTACTCCTAACCAATTTGAGTATAGTGTACATATAAAGTACACTATGCTCAATGACCTGAATAAGCGTATGCCAACAGAAATCTTAAGATAAACACAGATAAGACAAAAATCAATTGTCATGTGCATGTGGCATCTATACCGTTGGTGGGAACACTACGGAAGTTGTTGATGAGTAAGTTCACAAAACACAAGGACAAAATGTCCGACTAGGTTTTTTTTATAGAATAAGGATGATAAACGAGCACACAGTCGACCTGATGGTAAGTGGATGCTATGGGCCATAGACATCTATATTTATCCTCAATTAAGAATCAAAATGCAGATGCGTTGTCACCCCTGAGAACTAAATGGAGTGCCAACCTGGTAAGCGATGCAGGAAATTGATGGGCGTAGGTGGCTCAGGACCGTGCTTAGTGGTATCCATTGTGATGGGCTGCAATGATGATGATGATGCATGGTCTGCGCGATGTCTTACATTACCGCCGAGTAGATTTAGTCAGCGTGTAAATAAATAAATATATATATACATATATATATATATATACTTAATATAATAAAGCGGAAGAGTTTTTTTGTTTTTTTGTTTGTTTAAACGCGGTAATCTCTGGAACTGCCAGTCTGATTTGAAAAATTCTTTTTGTATATTATAGCCAGATTCATGTGAAATAGTATAGGCTATCTAACATTAAGCTATATCACTCAGCTAGCCTTAAATATAGATATTTAGTAAGCAAGTCAGTAGAAAAAGCACTCCCGAAATGATTTATCTGCGTACGCTGATGTTATCGTTAGGGATACGTAAAAACAATGTTCTAGAAAAATATAGATCTTTACTCCGTCTAAAAAAAAGTCCGCGATACCATATGTCTATTTCTTATACATAAGCCATAAGTAGGTATTTTGTGACAAAAAATATTGAAAATTTAAAAGTGATTTATGAGCGTTATTATTAGGCATGGCCAATTTATCCTTTCGAACGAAAGTTACTTCATTATCAAGACAATTTTATGACGATAAACTTTGTTCTTTATACCATGTTATTTAGACGCATAGTTTAAGAGATAATGTAAAATTA